TCTAACTTCAATTGATTCATGATCTCAATAATGAATTTAATAGTTACATTCGATGACCCATTAGAAAAAGCGAATTAATGAGTTCTTACTAGTTTTCATAAAGCTCCTTTATTTAAAAAGCATTGACCTGTAACACAAACTAATGTTATCGTTCACTCTCCAAATAATTATTATTCACATTCATTTCAATTAATTTTTCATATTGTGTTATTCCCTTCCCATCTTATTGAGCATATTTTCCAGCTCATGCATTCCATCATTTTGTTTCTGTGTCAACCGTAATCAACACACAGATGAATTGACAGTGAAACTGATTCCATGATCAGTATTTATAAATAAGTAATATGTGAATGACTTGTGTTTCGATGATTTCTGTAAACTGTATTTGTTTATTGTTCAACCTATTTGTCATAAACATTTTCAGTGGAACTAGTGTTAACTGAGTTTAATGAGGTCGATAATAAACTGATTAGTTGTAGTGGATATGGATGAGTGAGTAAAATTTTGATGAGAGTAGTGATTTGCAAACAATGTAATTTACATTATCTGGATATATCATTGATGGTATAAATGAAGACTGAACATTTGAGTGTTTGGAAGTGGATTATGCATTAGTGAGTGTGAATATTCGTAGGAAGGATCCTCCTACGTCACTATCATAGACATTGTCATTTTAGCTGTATTTCAAAACTTGAAGAGATTCCAATGTAGGAAAATAAGTTACTCGTTCCTTTTTCCCTTTATCAACCCCTTAATTTTTGATCGACCAAAATCCAGTATATAGATAATAATAATAATAATAATAATAATAATAATAATAATAATAATAATAATAATAATAATAATAATAATAATAATAATAATAATAATGGTAAATTTGCTAAAGTTCCATTCTCAAGGGTGGATAGTTAAATCAATGGAGCTTCTGTTATTCGTCTGGACAAAACCATCAACATAAAATTCTGATAGAAGTAAGGTATTAGAACCTTTTTTCCCTCATATATGTGACAACTTATTTTGATCTTTATTGATTATAATAATTTCGTTCCTAAAAATAATAAATGCTTAACGATTAAACTATCCAGTTCAGCAAACAAAACTTCATCAAGTTCATTTACTTAGACTATTAATCTTCTTCACTATCTCGATGTTGCTAATTAACATAGACGTACACAAAACATCAACCAGCAGTATGTAAAACAAATACAAAATGTTACTTGGTATTGTTTGTCTTGTATCTTCCCATTGAGGTTTAAGACTGCAATTGATCAGTCTGTTATTGGCATATGTGCATACTGTGCGTATGCCTCGATATTGCCTGAATTCAAAAGTTTTTTGTAAGCAATGATGGATAGTTGCTAGCAGTGGAACACAGTTTGATGCGCGTTTCGTCCTATTTGGGACTCGTCAGATGGATGTACCTGCATCTCAGAATTCATGTTCACTCTGGGACTCCAACCCAGTACCATTCGGTTCAAACGCCATCGCGTTATCCACTCAGCTACTGAGTCCTGATAGCCACTTGCTTGTGCAATGGAGTGAATTTAAATTCATATCGAGGCATACGCACAGTATGCACATATGTCAATAACAGACTGATCAATCGCCGTCTTGAACGTCAATGGGAAGATACAAGCCAAACAATACCAAGTGAATTTAAATTCACCCCATTGCACAAGCAAGTGGCTATCAGGACTCAGTAGCTAAGTGGATAACGCGATGTCTTTTGAAGCGAATGGTACTGGGTTGGAGTCCCAAAGTGAACATGAACTCTGAGATGCAGGCACATCCATCTGACGAGTCCCAAATAGGACGAAACGCGCGTCAAACTGTATTCCACTGCTAGCCATTATCCATCATTGCCTACTAAATGTTACCTTTAAAAATCAAACTCAAGAACTGTACCAGTAATCGAAATGACCATTAGAAGTAAAGAAAACAAATTACATTTTGATGTGAACATGAAGATTTGTGTACATAAAGAACATTTTAAAAGATATGGATAATAATATTATTAAATATGATTTACCATTCAAATCTAAATTAACCAATTATATGTCTACTTTTTCTTCAGTTATCCCATTAAAAGTGTAATGGTAATAATGATAATAATAATATTGCGATTATCAAAGGTCCTTTCACTTGGGATTATTGATTATTGATTCGCATAAAATTTCTGTTTCATTTATCGATTAATGATATATATTTATGATTGTTTATTCTAATACATTCATATTTCTGATATACAAAGATGATAAGTTATAATCAATTATTCAGTAGTTATTAGATTTATACCTAATTATTTGCATTATTTGACATTTTAGTCTGAGTTATCTCAACAAACGAAATAGTCTAATATGATGTATAATATTACTACTTAATTTCCATTTAAGTAATTTATAGAAAAAGAAATTCATAGACCGAAATAACACCACTATATCTTTGAATCATATGTACATTGAAGATATAGAATTAAATTAAGAGCATACATAAGTCATTTGATTAAAATCTAACAACGTACATTATTCTTTTATATTTCAACCTTTAATTATGATTAAGAATCTTAATCAATCAGGCAATATGAGTGTTATAATTTCAGCCTGTATATTGTTCATACAATATCGTGATTCACTAGTCACAGTATTGTATTGAACGAGAACATTAGTGAGGATAACCAAATAAATTTGAACGTGAAATCACAGAATTACTTAGCAAAATCTGAGAACCATGCAATATATACTCCATTTGCAAAACGTTAATTAATTGTCTCAGACTTCATTGCTCCCTCGTTTCCATACCAATCATTCTCTGTTTTCGTTCCCTTTCCTTCGATCCTCTTAACCTTTTGTCGCTAGGTATTTCACTTTCGATTGATGATACATACTACTTATATCTGTCGACATCAGTAGCACACATCACAGTATTAATAATAAAACATCATTAATTAACTTATTAATCCAAGCTTTTCGAATATATATGTATTAAATATTAAACATGAAAACTGTTAGATAATGTTTGTTAATTTCGTTCACTATAAATTTATTTAATGAATTGGTAATATGACCATACACTCCTCGAATAAAGTAAGTCTACGAGTTCAATGAATTACAAATCTGCTAACTATTCAATAATTTGGAAGATATATTGCTTAATGCAGACATTTGTTTATATTAACTATGTTTCTTCAAACTGATCAGTAATTCAATCATGAAAACAAAGGCAGAATCTAAAAGAATACCACTAGGTTCTGATCTATATCTTACTTTAAGTAAACTAGTTATTATTTCATAATAAATTTATATAAAGTAATTACTTATTAATTCAATGGAGTTGAGTTCATAACTAGTAATTCATAAAATAAAGCCAGAACAATCATTGATGCACAATAATATGAATTCATTGCGTTTCGTGGTTTCTCATTAGCTGATTACAACCAAATATGCATTGGAATTTTACATTGAGGGAAAATATAATGTGAAATAATTGACATAAGTGGATGTAATCAATAGGAATGGCAAAGGTTATCAATAATAACTATATATACATGTGTGCAAGAACAGGTCAGAGGTTATTTGGTGTTAGAATTAAGGAAACATTAAGGATGAGTGATGTAATGGTTGAGTGAAGTTCAGTGACAGATAAGATAAATTATGTGATAATTTTAGAAGTAATGAAGGGTTTACATGATATTCATGGAATTAAAACAAAACTGGTAAGATGGGTTACATAAAAACTGAATAGGATTTAAAGAGTTTACATAATTTATGAGAATCAAGTGAATGGAAATATATGAGTGAAGGGGTAGTTTAAGAATGCGGTAATGGGAGAGAAATATAGCAAACTAAACATTAACGAAATTGAACTAATGACCAAAAACTGAATTACTAGGGTAGTAATAGGTTTATTGCTGTCTCTCTTTGAATACATAGATCAGGTTTGAGTTTTTTTATCGCGATCGCTTTAGCAAAATGGAGTGAAGTAGTATTTCTTTGACTGCTAGTAATTTTAAAAGCATGAGAGATGTCAACGGTATGCCTGGTGTCAAGTAAATGCCGACCTATTGTGCTTTTAAAGACCGTTGTAAACTCTTCAATTCCTATTCAAATATTACGCCGCCATCTTACTGAATTTTTAATTCCATGAATATCATGCAAACCCCTCATTACTTCTAAAATTATCACATAATTTATTTTATCTGTCTCTGAACTTTACTCAACCATTACATCACTCATCCTTAAAGTTTCCTTAATTCTAACACCAAATAACCTCTGATCTGTTCTTGCACACATGTATATATAGTTATTATTTATAACCTTTGTCATACCAATTGTGTACATTCATTTATGTCAATTGTTTCATACTATTTCTTATCTTAATGTAAAATTCTACATCGATGTTTGTTCTGGCTTTATTTAAATTCGTAAAGGCAACTAATTGCATGAGATTTCTGCCACAATTGTCGGGGATACCTATATTACGCACATTGTCACTAGTGACCCGCGGGAAAACTATATTGAAGATTATAATGACAATTGCCATGTCCAGGTCTAGGTGGATGACATGCTACATCAATGTAAGATTTTTTTCATCCAGTGCCAATAATTTACTCAGCTATTGTTTGAATAACATTATTTACTTTTTTAAACCCTATATTTTATAGTTTGAATCACGGATGGATCTTATCTGAACCACTACTGGAAAATAAGGAGAACTGGATTGTCGCTTCATTCTAATATTGGACTAATTATTCAGTAGTGTGCATTCATGATCCCACTGCTGAGAAATGAACACATGACCTTTGACCTCATACATGAACTCTGAACCTTTAGACCACTTAACTGAGATCTACTGATGTGCATATCTAACTTCAGTCAATCCACAATATTATACAACCATCTTTCATTATCTAATGTAAATATCTATCTCATATCAAATATTATGTTAACCCCGTTTATCATTGTTTTATATTAAAACATTCAAAGTCACATTTTGTAATTAGTCACTAATATTCAAAATATACATTACATATTTAAATGAAATCAACCATCATTAAAAAAAACATATTTTAAGTTGCTTAGCAACAATTTCACAAAACGTCATTTTAAATATGATAAATAATGGTGACAAAATATTAAATATTAATAATCAAATTATTAATTATTGGAAATAACAACAACAATTGATTATTGATTATTCATTGTCTCCATAGGTAATTGTTTCCGATGTTTGTTTGTTTGTTTATAGAAAAAAATGAATAAAGAATTTAGATAATATTCAATGGAAATATCAGCATGCTTGAAAGTATCTAATATACAATGGATCAGAATGTAATTGATTTGTGTGAAATTATCATTCTAGATTTAAAGAGTATTCAGTTTTTCTTATGAATTGAATTGTTTGTATTGTGTTTTCAAGTAGAATGAATCACTTTATAATAGATTGGTAGTGAATAGTTGGAATGATTAGAAAATGAAGCACAACATTTTGATTTCATTCTCAGTAAATATTTAAATAATGTGCATCCACGAACCCGAATGTGGGAATTGAACCAAGGATCTTCGATCTTGCATGTGAATGCATAAATTCTATACTACCAAGTCGTTATCTATTTGTGTTAGTGAATGAATTAAATCAATTCATAATATTGTGACATGAATTGGATTCCTTTATGTATAGTCGTGGATCCTTATGGCTGAGGGGTCCCATACTAGAACAAAATAACCGTCCATCGCTTCAAAGTTTTTAATAGTCGTCTAGATACGATCAGTTCGTGATTTCAACTGCGAAAATACTACAATCTCTATAAATCCCCTATACTAATAACATGGTAAATCAATTATTTTGTAAACTATAAGAAATAACTCTAAGGCTTTAAAAGTGACATAGAATGCGTATATATGAGTCCTCATTCAACTGGTGGTTTTATTGTAGTTCAGTTCATTTTTTCATGTTTCACTGTTAAACCACATTTTAGATAGAATTATAGTTTTAGTTTTGTAATTTTTAGGTTGACACCAAGTTGATTGATTAATAGGTTTGGATCATTATTCCAAGATTTTAGGCACCATATGATTAGTTCCATGGTGCCATGAAATAAATAACTGACACCTTTGAGTGTTCAGATCATGTTAACTTACAAGTTAAAGACTCACATAAGTTGATATGTTGACGAAAGTTGATGCCTTAAATGTCCGAATTTCGCATATATTGATCACAAATATAATTGGTCTGTGCCGATGATTGGGAGCTTAATTAAGTTAGACGTAAACAATGTAAGCAACCAGTTAACGTTGAAGACACACTACAAGATTATTACCTAACATAGATTATCCTTTTGTCATATCCAGGTACACTAGCTACTTACAAAAATATATTAGTAAGCGTGGGTACAAAGAACAAACTGCTATCACCACCATATATGTCAGACTATAGCATGCAAATAATTGTTATGCGTTGATCTTGACAAGGATCACTGTGCTATTTGATATCTGGTTACCCAATGGTCGTCTGATTTAACTATGTTCCAGTGACATTTCAATGTCCCTACACATATTCAATATAGGTATTCCTTTAAGTGTGAAGCATAAATAATAATAGTGTAGTTCTCAATTTATACTACTTTCCTCAACTTTTTTCCAATAAAGTTCCATAAATCACATGATTCTTTGTCTATTTAGTGAAAATGGATTATTGAAAAAAGCACATTTATATATTAGCAAGTGAAGGAAAATATTATTGTCATATACTCACCAGATAGTCCATTATTCTATAAAAAAACATGAACAGAATAGAAGCCAAAAATATATATCTATATGATGATGAAGAGTGAAGTAAATGATCATCCATTAAACAACTAGATATACGTTGTATAAAATCATATTCATGAATAAAATTACCTTTTTATGAATTCGGGATTCATTTAATTATATGGATAACTTCAATTAATCTTCCAGACATATTTTACGACTATATCAGTAATAAGATACCTATCAATAGATTACACATAGGATTTCCTGTCCCATTTCACAATTTTATAAAGTTTTATATTGTATATAACATTCTATATACTTAAATAATATTACATTATTGAAATGAATTAATAAAAGCATGTAATGGTTGTGTTTCGTTAACCAATCACCCTCATAACCGTTATCACATAATCATCAAAGGTGTTTGAAATCAGAAGACAAAGTGAAGCAGCGATTACAGTTTTATTAGCAGATAACTCAGACCACAAAGCAATGACACAAATGAGTGAGGTAGCGAATCGAGAGTGTAGTGTTAAATGTACATGTATATATATAGGAAAATGAATGGATCATCGAATCAATTAAGCAGTTAATAATAAAGCTAGCAGAATGAATGTATGCGTAGGCGGTAAGCAATGTTCAAGCATACATATTTCATACAAGCACAACAATAATAAAGGTACAATAAGTTGTTATAGTATACGGATGACTTTGTTCGCTAAATAAGTTAACAAAATGGTTTAACTGAGTTAGATGAAAACAAACTCAATTGCACGTGAGTTGCTATAACCATTTTCCCAACTGTGTTATTATCATTATCTCCTCTTTAAAATAATACATATTATAATCGCAACTTGTATGGCTATTGCGAAAAATGAATTCATCGGTTGAAAAAAGGAGAGAAGAAAGAATAAATGAGTTAATACTGTGTTATGACCTTGGTATGTCAGGGTTTTGCTATCACGCGACCTATCGACCAATCCGAATACGACTTATACGAATCTTCACACTAGGCCAACCAATGACGTTCAAAGCGGTGTGGGCAGTCTAGCGTACTTATTAGTCCTATGTCTTCCGAGCCCTTCCACTTGAGTCCAGAACACAGTACCATCTTCGAATCAGAGCAGATCGTTTATTTCAAACATACTCGGTTTATATATCAAACAGACAGACCACAACACACCATAAATTAGAAAATAACATGTGTACACAAATGAGCCAAAAAGTGGCTGTGAACGAGCGAGATAATAATTAATAGACTGAACATAGTTTAAGAACCGTAAATCGTACAATAATAAATTATAGATCAAAATAAAGCTTATAATAAGAGGGATATAAATTTACATAATCTAATTATTCAATAGTTTTACAATAAGAATATTTATAGAATATTAGTCCGTTAATAGTCCTCGGGAGTTACCTGTAATTTAATCTTCGCTCGGATATAACATACTGAAAATAATTATGGTAACCCGTTGTAACAAAATGGGTTTTGTGGGGATTGTAATAATTTCAATAGTTGATATCATGAGTTCATTGAAGCTAGGCCATCATGGAAAACCTGGAAGCACTGAACTGCTGTTTCGTCCTATTGTAGGACTCCTCAGTAGTGTTCATAAAAGACCCAACCTCGCGAGATTCGAAACCATAACCTATCACTCTCGCGCTTGAACGCTTAACCATTAGACGACTGAACCGACATCCAACGGTGTTAATGTTCGACTTCAAACAATCCACGAAATTGAGTGACACATCCATCATTGTCTTCGTTGAGTTACTATCTCACAGGACTCGTGATTTCAACTATTGAAATAACCCATTGTATCAATGAATAGAAGTAAGTAGCATTCAACAACTGATTTGATAACAAAGAACTTTAATTAACTGACTGTGTTTTATATGCCGAAATCATTGAAGTCGTTTCATAAGCATATTAAAACATTAGAAATCATACGATATACTTTTCAGGTAACAAACTTATCCTTCTGTTTTGAAAAAGACTTTACTACATAACTTTTTATAATATCTAAATAGTTGATAAACATTTTTAACTAACGCGATTATGATTATGTAACTTGTTGACTTTGGAATAACATATTCACTTGATACATAACCATTATTCAGCACTTGAAATAAAGAGGATTCAGTAAAGAAAATTTCATCTTGTCAACATGTTCCGTTGTTTCGTAAATACATCAGTCCATGGAAAAATAGAGAGAGAGAGGTGAGTACATCACAAAGTGATCAAAAGAACTTTGTGTAATGAATGATCAAGAGGTCAGATAACAATAGGAAATAGGAAATAATCTAAAAGTCAGCAAGATGACAGATAATTGTCAACCTGACAGATATAAAGGAGAAATAAAAGACGTAAAGTTCATAATAACGATTGAATAGTTATGAAAAAAAATGTTATAGAATGATAATAACTGATTTCGTTCTGAAAAAATAATATATAAAATAATAATTAAAAGAAGACAGGATAAGAAGTACTAGAGAAAGGAATTGAAGCTATGGAAGGATGAGAAGTGAATCACTTAATTCATTATGAGTATTAATATTTCTACAGAGTTTTGTGTTTGTCAAACCATGACAGATTTTGAAGATATTCAGCCATATATGCTACACACAGCAATACTGAATATCGAAATTTAACTAATAATGAAATGATGTGAGTTAAAGATGGGTTACTGTAATAAGCCCTGTATAATACCGACGCTTATAGACTTATGTTTTAAATAAACATGTTATATATCCTTAGTGAACTGGACTATCTTTGGTCGAACCTTCAAGTATTGATTTTCAGAATTTTAAGAAGAAATACGGTTTGGTATTTTGAAGAAAAATCTTTTTATTACAACAGATAGTTGATTTTTCAGGTTAGTTTAATGAAACTAATCTGAATGAATATAATGTATATTCTCTATTTAAATCTTATATGCTCGTCACATATTTTCTAGTCAAGAGACTTTATGTGAATTAAAATTAAATAGGTCAATGAGGTGAGATATATATTTTTCAGATTACGAAATTTTTTGCTATCATAAGAGTTAAACATCATTTCTATGAAAGAATATGGAAAATGTTTGCTTAGAAAAGATTTGAAATGCGAATCTGGTTGATATTTTACTTTTCAAACTTCCACGCACGATTGTTCACGTAAATTTGTATTGATTTAGTTAGACAATATCAAAGTCAGAATCTTCAATACGAACGTCAACACAATTCTACTGTACGGAGATGAAACTTCGAGAACTACCACAACTATCATTAAAAAGATACAACTATTCATAAACAATTGTCTGTGCAAAATACTCAATGTCCATTGACCGGATACCATCGCCAACAACCTACTGCGGAAGAGAAAAAACCAGCTTCTGGTTGAAGAGAAAACTGAGAAGAGACTTTAGAAAAAGATAGGACATAAATTGTGGAAATCACCAGATTGCATCACGATGAAAGCACTAAGTTGTAATCTTGAAGTGATACGGAAAATCTGAAGGCCAAAGAAATGACTTCGTCGGGGATCGGAAGCAGAGATCAAAAGGATGAATAGAAAGTGGAAATAAGTGCAAAAGATTATCTAGATTTTATGGAGAATGGTGGTGGGCGTTCTATGCTTCTCTATGAAAGGTAACAAGCGTAAGTAAGTAAGTGAAATTACTATATAGTATCGACAAATAATCAATTATTTTATTTATGGTTAAGATAATTAGAGAAATTAGTAAAATGACAGATCTCAGCTTGCTGAGATCACTACGAAATTACTTAAATCTTTACTGGAAAAGATAACCACAGATGTATTTCTCTTAATCCCGTTCTCCACATGACCGTTGTTACTTATTGATTAATTGCAATCGCTGTTAGGTTGTTAAGTTTTGGTATGCGTCAACATCGTTTTTCGAAAATAAAATATTTTCAGTTTTATTATTCCGTTTGACTATGTTGCAGAGTAACACATTAGTTGACATATTCAATAACTCATCAAACATTGCCTTTACTCAATCTATATTTGATATATCAAGAATTAAATACTGTATGTGTAAAGATGTAGGTTTATGTTATGATTTTTCAAAAATAAGGTATAGCTGAGGGTGGCGAGATTCATCTCTCCCTCTCAAAATGCTCTCATATGCTACACTTATACAGAAAATGCCAGGGGAAGTTCTACTCACTGCCTTCTTACGGCATTACTATTATCTACGAAACTGATATGACATAAAGCACTTTAACCGAGTGAGTAGACAAGTAGGATCCACCTAGAAGAAATGGAAAATTCTGATTCTAAACCAACGGTGTACATGTGCTCCAGTATTCTGAAGGAACAAATGGCGAATAAACCAATTGTTGACCACCGGCTACCATGGGACTGCATCTGCTAACATTACTCCATTGCATTGCGGACTAGACCCTTAGGTCGAACGCTCCGGTTGTGACCCCCTAAGAAAACCACTTACTTCAGTCTGGGCACCTGAGCAGTATCACAGCCCACACACAAACCAAGTGACTTATGTGATGTATATGCATTTGGTTCCCCTTTGTACCAATATTTACCTATTCAAGTAATGAAAATAAAAGGTTGTTCAAATGTAGGACCACTTATTTTTTTTTCAGTTGATTATTCCTGCTCTATATGATTATTTGAATTGATGAATTAGGAATACGCATTGAATACGCATCATATACTAATCTACATAACTTATAAAAACTAATATAATGTTCAATACTGAAAAACTCTAATTGATGTTATTATTTATGTTATTTATGTTATAAAGTGAATAATATTTCCTATTTAATTACATTTTTATAAAACAATCAAAATTCAATTACCTGTATTTTATTAATGCAACAACAACAACAACAAAGAGAAAATCAATCATAATCTGTTCATACTCATTTCTACCATCACTACAAATATCTTTCATTATTTTAAACGACAATTTTGAAGGGTTTTAATGTTATATTATGTTGATTAAATAAATATGACTGTTTAAATTAATGTACATAGAAACCCCTTCTGATATGAATCAGTATCTACTCAGTAATGACTGGCTTCAAGAGGTATATCCTGGAGTTCTAGTGAGAAGCAATGACTAACGGAGTTCAATCAAGTCTGTTGTGAAATAGTAACTCAATGAAGACAATAGTGGATGTGTCACTCAATTTCATGAATTGGTTGAGGTTAGACATTAACACCGTTGGATGACGGTTCAGTGGTCTAGATGTTAGGCGTTCGTGAGGGAGACCGATAGGTCGTGGATTCTAATCTCGCGAGTTAGGATCACAGATAAGCACTGTTGAAGAGTCCCATAATGGGACGTAACATTTGTCCAGTGCTTCCAGATTTTCCATAATAGTTTAGATTCAGTTGACTCATAATCTCAACTATTGAACCTCTAACATTCTATCTTTGAAATATCAGGAAAGGTATTTCTTCATGAACAAATAAAACAAACAAACTCGAGATTTTTTTCTTCATACAATATTATTTCAAAGGAAATATATCAAACCTAAAAATACTACTATTACTATTACTACTACTAATAATAATAATGATAATAATAATAATTCAATAAGAAATCCACAATGTTTTTATTCTCTCGGTAAATTCATACTCTGTAGACAATTGTTCTGTTTGTTTATTTTTGCTCTCTTGTTTGTTTTGAGATGACATTCGCTCAAAAAAAATAAATTCAATAAATAAATCAACAGTTAAATGTTTAACTAGAAAAAAAATGTCCCCCCCACCGTTTGAATAGTATTTAGAAAATAAAATAATCAATATATTATGTAACAAAAATAAAAGTGATTTCATGTTGTAACTACCTACCAATAGAAACAACAATAATACTAATACTAATAATAATAATAATATTACTCAATATTACGTAATATACTTTTCATGTATTGATTTCTTTTTTTTGTTTTCTTTTTTTTCTGTTCAATGTTCAATAGGTGTATTTAGATGATGTTGTAAACATGAATATTTTTCATCTATTTGTTTTAATTCATTTAATGATATAGATTTTTTTTTAGTTTTTATTAAATTTTTTGTTGTTTTTGATGTTATTTTTAATTGTATATTATTATTATTATTATATAATAAATAACAAAATTCAAATAATTCAACAAAAAATGCAGCAGTTAAACCAATTGTTAATGAACATAAACCACCAATACGACTTATTAATACATATAAATTTAATATTAATTTTTCAGTTTTTTCAATAGTACTATGAGATTTACGTTTTAATATAACATATGCAAAATCTTCACTATCTAAATCTAAATATTCTGGTGGCCAATTAGGTAATAAAGTAAAAATATCAGAATATGTATGATTATTATTATTATTATTATTATTATTATTATTATATTTTAATAATTCACTTTTACGTGGTAAATTCGTTAAATTATTATAATTTAAATAAAATTCCCATAATTTAAATGAATTTGTATATGTAATATTATTTAATGGATATTGATTATGATAATGAATTAATGATTGTGTTGCATAATTTTGTACACGTAACCAATATAATTGCCATGGATAAGCACGCCATTTAGTTACAGATGTAGTACTTTCATAATCATAAAATTCACAACGTGGAAAACACATATGACCATCATATTTTTGTTTAATTGAATTATTTAAATATTTATTAAGACATAAAATTTTTTTAATAAATTCAGTTTGATTTAAATATGGCCATAATTGACCACAATATGGTAATGTTTTACTAGGTAATATTAAACGTGGATGCATAACATATATACAATGACAATGATTCATTATTTCAATTTGTTGATGTACTAATAAACATTGTGTATGAGTATAATTATATTTAATATTTAAATCTAAATATTGATGTGATTCATTTGGTTTAATACATGGTCGTTTAGGTGTATTTAATTTTTTCCATCTTATTGGTTCATAATTAATTTCATTTAATTTACCAGGTTCAACATGTATACCATTTTTTTCTAAATCAGGCATTGTACCAGTTTCATGTATAACAACACGTAAACCACGTGCTTGTTCAAATACATCAGGTAAAAATGCTTGTTGTATATTAATATCTTTATCTCTTGGACCCATACCAACAATAAGACTTAAAAATGTTGTTTCATTTGCTGCATTAATATTAATTGGTTCAAATGTATAACAATTAAGATATTGATGATGAGATAAACGTTTAATATGATAACCATTTAATAATGTACAATTATCTTCAAATACTGACATATGGGAATAAATTCTCATACAATTTAAGAAGATAGTTAAATTATGTCCTAAATTTAATGATTCTTTATAATTTAAATTTTGATAATATACACTTAAACTATCATAACTCCATATTGTACTAGCTGATTGTATATCATTTTTATATAAAGCATTTAATATTAATTTTCTCATATATAAATTATATTTAGATGGTGATAAAATTTTTGATTCATTCCATAATTTATATGCTTCATATGAAAATGGTGGTTGATGACATACTGTTAATGATGGAAATGGTGATGGATTATCCATTATTAATTGTGTATGTACACTAACATCATAATTTAAAAAATCTTTAATTAATAATGCTGTTGAACTTAATAATAAAAATGTCATACTTAATACAAATGTTAACCACATAATACGTAATACTTTTGGTCCATGATGTATTTTAGACATACCACGTACACTTGTACAACTACAAAATAAATCAAATGCATATTTTGGTGAACAATAACCACAATGATGATGATGATGATCTTGATCTTGATCTTGATCTTGATCCTGATCCTGATGATGATGACAAATTTTTAACTTTGAACATTTATTTGATTGTTTACATTTTACAGATTTTTCTACATTTTTATTCTTATGCATTTTATATTACTTTATGAGTAATATTGAAGGAGAAAAAATCACATCAATTATGTAGTGTTATATGTTAATGATTAATTTTCATTAAATTGAATAAATAAAATCTTTAATAAATTTATTTTATTAATCAACCAATCAGAAGATAGGAAATATTCAACCAATAATATATTATTTACATTAGAATGATATTTTAATAATGAAAATCAAATAGAAGTTAAAATTTCACAAATTGAAATCATGAGTCAATTGAAGCTAGAGCATCATGGAAAACTTGGAAGCACTGGATGGCCGTTTTGTTCTAGTATGGAACTCCTCATCAGTGTGCATCCACGATCTCGTACCCCCCCCCGCGAGATTCGAACCCAGGACCTATCAGTCTAGCGCTAGGCGCTTAAACAACTAGACCACTGAGTCAAATTTTTGAATTCTTTGAATATCTGAACTATCTAAGTTTGACTTAATAATTTAGAATAAATTCACTAAAGAAATAGCTTATATTCTGAGTAACGAAATTTTAGAAAATTTTCATTTTTCTACTCATTGAACTATTACAGTTAGATGAAATAAGGTCAGAACAAATATTGATGGAGAATAATATGAATTCATTATACTTTATGGTTTCTTGCTAGCTGCTTACAACCAAATATGTATTAGAATTTTACATAGAGATAAGAAATAGTATGGAACAATTGACACAACCGAATGTAAAGAATTGGAATGACAAAGGTTATCAATCATAACCATATATATGTTAGTATCAAGGTGGTGCAGTTCAGAGATAGATAAAATAAATTGTGTGATAATTTTAGAGGTAATAAACGATTCGTGGATTTAGAAACTGATAATATGGGTTACGTAATAATCAAATGGAATTTGAAGAGTTCACTGGGACGTTGGATACGGATAGTCTATCTAGGGGAGTTAGAAAACGTTGACTCTAAACCAAATAGTGAACATGGTCTCCGGTATCCTGACGAAACAAATGGCATATGTACCAATTGTTTATCACCGACTACCATAAAACTCAATTTCTTGACGTTGCTACACTGGCCTGTGGATCAGACCTGTAGGTCGAGGGCTCCGGGTGTGGCTACCTATGAAAACCACCTACTTTGGTCTGGGCACACGAGGTGAGGTCGTGGGTGCGCACTGCTGAAGATTCCTGCAACAGGACGAAACGGCCATTCAGTGCTTCCAGCTTTCCCACGGTGATCTAGCTTCAGTCGACTCATGATCTCAACTATTGAAATTAATACAATCTCTACAAAACCCCTTCTGATAATTTAAGAGATCCAAGTGAGCGGAAATGTGTTAGTCAAAAGGTGGTTTAAGAATTCGGTCATGGGAGTGGAATTTAACACAGACTAAATATTAACAAAATAAAACTAATATGCAAAAACAAAAGAAACAATAAACACACAAAAATTACATTACCAGGATAGTAATAAATTTATTACTGTCTCTTTTTGAATACATAAATCCGGTTTGTTTTTATTATCACGATCGCTTCAGGAAAACGGAAAGCAGCCGTATTTCTTTGTGTGCTAATAATTTTAAAAGCATGAGAGATGTCAATGGTATGCCCATTGTCAAGTAAATGCCGAGCTATTGCACTATTGAGAGTCCTAGTCCATCGCAGCCTCAATTTCGTTAGAATATGCTCAGAAATGTGAACATATACTCTTCTCTCAGTTCTTCGAATGCATGTGCTTTGGCACGTACATGTAAATTAGTAAATGCAGTTCGAGCTACTGAGAAAAGAGGACTTATCGATTTTAGTTTGTTTGAGTGAGCAGCTCGTTTCCCATACTGTAGTCAGTTTTGCTGCTGTGTAGGCCAATTTCAACGCGGAATTTATTCTGTGATTAATTATTTCAGTAATTTCATCTCCTTCGAAGCTTGAGTATAAGAAGTAAGTTTTCTTTTCCACTCTGTCATACTTTACTCAAGTGTTGATATTTGCATATTTATGGATTAATTTATTTATCTGAGTTACTTGTTTCTGCACTTTAGATATTTCAACAAATTATCTGGGGTTTTTTTGTTGTTGTTGCTTGTTTTAACACATTATTATGTTTATTAATCGCATAAGCTATTAAGGTGAGTCTATGAAAAGTTTACAACCTTCTGCTGTACAAGTTGTAAATAAAAGCCCAATCAGGAGCACCGTGGTTGCTGGCAATATGCATTGAAAAGAATGTACATTATTTAGATGTCAATTGACTGAACTGCTAACTTCTATCTGGCAACCAATCAATATTTATCGCTAGGATCGATCAAAAAATAAGAAATGGAAACTTGTTGAAAAACTTTGTGCTGACGATTCTATAATAATAATATAATTACATAACATATATGCAGCGAATCGATTTTTGGCGGAATTTATAGACAGGTCCTAATCATTACTCTAACTTTCATTCAAACAACTATTTGTTAAATATTGTAGTTGATTGTTGTTATTTGAGCGAATTGTCTTGACGTACCTCATATATTAAAGGTTTTTATGGAGTGGATGGAATATACTTAACATTAGGTCTATTCAAGATTCATTGCCTAAATTGACAAGTATTCCAATGTCGATATCTACAGTGGGACTCAAACTCAATAGCTTTCACTTTATACCTTTAACACATTATCTACCGAACTTTATGCTTTGATTAGATACTTACTTAACAATGCATAACCTAGCACAAATGAAACTAATGAACTAATAAATTCACTTCAAAAAAATACCTACTAGTGTCAAACTTCTTAGTAATATTCTATTTTCACTGGTTTTGGTTATTCATAAAGAAATTTAGTATCCATGTTATTGGCTGACTTTTCAATTTTGAAAAAGGAAAAATCTCCTAAATTGTTTGCCTCTTTTCGTGATACATACCTCTTGTAACATGTTACATAAATGTGATAAAATTTTACTTCTCATTAAAACAAACAAAGAAATAATAAATTATTCGGTAGAATTGTAGCTTAGAAAACATAGTTATAATTTTATGTTACTTGAAATAAGATAATTCGAATCATTATATAACTTACAAGGTAGTATTGACATGAAAATCTGAATTATTCACCGATTGGGCTTGCCAACAAGAATGGTCTTAACAACTAAAAATGTGCTAACAACATATTAAAAAAATTATAAAATATACATGAGGATTCTATACACGATATAATATGATACTGTAGTGAACGAGAACACAAGTGAGAATAACTGAATGTAATACAAAGGGGGGTTTTATTGGATATTATAGTAATTTTAATAGTTGAGGTCATGAGTTAGTTGAAGCTAGACTATTATGAAAAACCTGGAAGCATTGAATGGCTCTTTCGTCCTATTGTTGGACTCTTTAGAAGTGAGTATACACGATCTCGTGTCGCGGGATTTGAACCCAAGTCCTATAAGTATCGCGCGAGAACGCTTAATCTCTAGACCACTGAGCCAGCAGCCAACAGTGTTAATGTTAATGTGAAACAGTAGTGGATGTGTCGCTTACTTTTGTGGATTAGTTGATGATAGACATTCGCGTGCGAGACTGATAGTTACTGGGTTCGAATCCCACGAGGTGGAATTGTGTATGCTCACTGTTGAGGAGTCTCACAATAGGACAAAACGGTCGCCAATTGCTTCCAGTTTTTCCGTGGTGGTCTGGTTTTAATTGACTCGCGATCTCAACAACTGAATGTATTTAAATACAAAATTACAGAATGTCTTAGTAAAATCTGAGAATCGTAAAGTAAATACTTTATTTGCAAAATGTCAATCAGTCGTCTCAAACTTGATTGTTCCCTCGTTTTCACACTAACCATTCTCTGTTCTCGTTCTCTTTTCTTTGATCTTCTAAACCTTCTGTCACGAGGCATTTCACCTTCGATTGATGACCCGTACTACTTATATCTGTCGACATCAGTAGCACACACCACAATACAATGATTATAAGTGTTATGTTTAAGTTCGTCTTAACACAAATTAGATCATTTTGTTAAAATAACCGTAGATTAAAGTTCAATATCTCATAGTCAATGTGAAAATGATTTTTCGAATATGAAACGGATTGTTAAATTGTTGCTATTCAGATATTTATTGAACATCCAGTTATATATTACTAAATAGCAATTTGAAATTATCTGTTCCTATGTTTATTCAGTTAATTTAGACAACGGAAATGATACATAAAAAATTGTGGATTGAATGTCATTATTATTCATAAATCAAGTCACGTTTCTTACAACACAAGGTTACCTGTTACATAAACATTATACGACGCAATAAAACTGCACTGTTACGTTGAAAGTTGGTGATTATGTTAAAAGTGAGTAAATCATATCTGCAAATTATGCCATCCAGCAAAACATATGATATAACTAAACTTTCTTGAGATACCTACAGCGTTGTAGCTTTTATGTATGATACACTCATATATTATTGTTGAACATGTATTACAGTAGTAAATAATTGACTAAGCGAACTTGATTTTATAGTACTAACACTGGTGTTATGACATAGATCGGAACTGATTTTTAATTTAATAAATTAAAGAACTTAAACAAACAGAAATAGTTTTGTTTATATTGGTTTGATTAGTAAGTGATAAACCTCACATATTCATTTCACTTAGATCACTGCCATAAGTAAGGAAGAAATGGACAACTTTTTCGTCAAACTACGGGACTCGTTAATAGTGCTCATCTGCTGCTTTCATGGAACGAGACCTGGACCTCCAAGTGTAATAACGATGTCTAGCAATTAGATCGTTGAATCTTAAATGAGTGTTGCAAATGTCCCACTTCAATCAATTTGTAATATTACATAACGACTATTAAGTGCTTTTGGTGACTACTGTTACATTTCTGAAGCGTATGAACCCAAATGATCATGACTTCGCGCTTATCACCTACAAAGTAACCCAATCTTCTCAAAACCTTTTTATAAATACTATAATTGTGCTCATTAATAAACTACTGTGAGATGATTCAAAATAAATGGAAGATAGTTGAGTGGAAGGATTTCAGTTGAGGTTGTAAGGTTCTTTATTACTTATTAATATACACGCAATCACGGGGTCAAATACAGATGTAAGGTAGCGAATGTTCACTGCCGTTGAGTCTCATTTTA